CAGGAAACAAAGAACCCAGGAGTATTTTTCTTTTAAAATTTGAATACAAACAGTACTGGTGTTCTGAATGTGTCTTTTCCCTTCAACTGCCTTTCCTCTTTCTCATGTGTTTCTATTTCTTATAGTCAATTAAACACCATTCTGGCTCTATGCTGAATATAAACTTATTGGGATACTACAAATAAGAGCATGAGTTAATCAGAAGGCAAAATGCAACTTCCTCTCTCTCCCCTCTCCATCCTCAGACGACAGCACAACTTCTCACTGAGCTAACAGTATAGCTCACACATTCAGTAGAGTAAATGAGGGTCTGCACTCCTTAGGTTGTGCTTCTCAATTTCATGTTTAGTCATTAAATCACTGGAAGCACATGTGGGGTGAAATTCTATTTCATCTCAGTTCCTTCCAGCAGGAAGTAAACTGGTTGCAGACTCCTCCTTGATCCCTGTCTACATGAAGGGATAAATGCAGCACTACTGCAAATGTTTCCTAAGCGTGACCAGGAGGGAAGCTGTATTACCTTAGAAGAAGAAAAATCACAGATACAGATACATTTTTTTAACTTGTTAAAAACTAAAAGGCACTCAAGAACAAGAGAGAATGCTCATGCATGTTGGATCCTTAATGGGTAGCAGTACCACCATGGTTATATTGCATTCCCCAGGCTCTCCCTGGCTTTACAGATTCCCATTTCCACCTGGATAGGCAGATATCAGTTTCATTCCTCTGTCACCACGTTTTCTTTGCCATGCAGCACACAGCCTTTGAGGAGGACAGAATCTAGTCAGTTTTTTGTGTCCTGTGAACTCTAAGAAACTTTGATCAGGGACAAAGACCCTCCTTATGCCTCCCGGAAGTTCTGCTTGAAGAGTTGCAGACAAAGGCACTTGCAAAACAACACACTTTCACTATAGTGGGCTTGGCTCCCTTTCAGACAGGGACATGGCTTTGACAGGGCCCAATTTAAACATGAAGTCCCCCAGCACTGAAATTCTGCAATGTAATCATGCATTGCACAAGATGTTTCTGTTGCCAGAGTGATACTGGTTTATGCTCTTACCGTGATGCGACTCGGAAGTACTTCTGGATGAAGTAACACATGATTGCGAGGGGAACCAGGGCAATGAGAAACATTGGTGTGACGTATGAGATGACAGCAAGAGCAGATACACACAGCAAAGTAGAGCGGCTCAAACACTCCAGGGTAGCTGGAATGTGCTGTATAGACAAAGAAAAATAAGCACATAGAACCTTTCAGAACTTATCAAGTTTAAACCAGCATTATTTCAGTTTCCTTTCTCCCACTTACACAAGGAAAATAATTGAGGAATTTAAGCACTAAACAAACAGATCTGCTTTTGAGTTGACTGCTGGGTTTTGAGAAAATCTGAAGAGATTTATGTAGGGCTGCTTCACTTGTCTGCATTGTGGACCACAATCTTCACATCAGAGGATTACAGATGGGAGGCAACAGACAATTTCAGCATCTGCATTGAACCTATGAACTGGCAGTGCAGTCTGGAGTAAATATTGATAATCTGAATTTCAGTAATTTCTATTTTAGGCAACAGCATTTGTTTTTTTCTGATTTCATTTGCTCATATGTGTCAAGTTAATGTGTTTACCCACTTTTTAAAAAAGTAGACCCTCTTATTTCGGGATATCACCGTTGACCTAATTTTGCTTCCCTTTTCTGTACGGGGCATCTTAATCAACTAATTGTATTTTCAACGTGCACTTAAGATAGGGAATCAATTCTGAACCTAGAAATTCACGATGCAAATTGATAGAGTAGTCAAAATTATAGATCATCAGTAAACTTCATCTAAATGAATGTACAATAAATGAAAATCCATTTTTTCAGACTGGGAAAGTTAGGATAACTTGACTGCTTGAATGTATTTCTTCAGTACCTGGTCAATGGTATTGCAGTCAGCTGAAAATCTGTTCAATATACTTCCCAGAGGTGTTGTTTCAAAAAACCTAAAACAAGACAAAGAAAGGGAAAAATTACAATACTGACACTAGAATAGTTTTATATTTTTTCCTGTCTTCCTTAAGCTAGGTACTGTATCACAGACACAATCAAATAAATTGACCACCACAGTAAAGTTTTTCATTTTTCCCCTGTAACCGTGGCTTTCCAATAAAATGGCAGTCTTGAACATAATGCAACAACAGCAAGCATGTCCTCGGCTCCCTCTGCTGCCTAAGCTACACAAATCACATGATCACATTTTTAAAAAAATCCTTTCAGATTTGCAATTTGAGGCCTCTTCAATTGATGAAAAGTGCAAACAAAGTTAAATTGCAAGTCTTGCATTTTTCTGGGAATAGAAATGCATAACTAAGAACAATTGTTGGAATAATATATTAAAAGACCTTTCCTTTACATTTGCATATGCAAAATGTAACTTCATTATTGCTCTGTAATTGTTAATTAGTCCATAACTCATGTTGAACCTGAAGTCTAATTCTATCTTAAAAAACAAAAAGTGTTTAAAAAAAGTCTGAGGTTTTCCATGTATACTATTTCTCCATGATTTCTGGGTCAAATACAGTTAGCTTAAAAATAAGGTCTTTTTCCTCATGTTCAGTAACATCTACAGGTTTGAACCAAACTACCACTTTCCTTTCAAGCATTAGAAAGAAAACTTATGCAGGACAACAAAGCCTTTACCAGTATCTGTGTATTCTAATGATGTCTCTCATGACACTTCCCTAAGCTCATTATCTTTCATAGGCTTGCACAATCACCGCCTGACAGTAAATATTTCCAGTGATTATGATGCACGCTATGAACGAGCTGTACAACATATCGATCAATAATTGTGTTTTCTCCCTAACTAAAAACAGCAAAGAGAAATTAAACATGCAAGAAAGCAAACCTCTAAAGTCGCAGTTAGGCAGGAGAGGCATTTGACTAGTGTCTAGGAACTCCAGCAGCCTGGGTACCATTTTCAAAAACTGCTCACTAGTTTGATACTTGATGACTTTCAATTTAAAAAAATGTGATTCACCGTCAATTAATAAAACTGTGATTAGAAGACTGCCTTGAAGTAAGGAATACAAAATGACTACAATATAACTTGTATTACAATCAGGAATACCTCATCGGAGCCAAAATAATTTTATTTAGTAAGGAAGAGTGTAGCTTTTTGGTGACTTTCAAGCCAGTCCACTCCACCGCTATTGATGTGACAAGACATAATACAATCCCAAGACAGCAGAGAATGCTGAAAACTTTTGAATATGGAGAATGGTTGAAATCCTAAAAAAAAACCAAAGAAAGAGTAACAAAATTATTTGCTGTAAATTATGTTTAAAATGTATTGTAAAAAACCACAAATGCAGGACTGAAAAAATGTAAGGAGTAAATGCTTTTTCCTCCCTAAATTAAACTGCCAAAGATTTTTTCAACCATCTTAAACTACAATTTATTATCCTTTGGAGAGAGGAGTGTTTGTATGAAAACAAGAGATTAATCAGAAATTCAGAATCACTGAATACTGATATATTTAAGATACTGAAAAGATATATTTAATAATTTCATCTGAAGGAAAAAACCCAACATCTTCAAAGAATTTATTATGGCTTTATTGTTTTGGTCTATTTTTTGAATAGGAACAGAATATAATAGCTTTTATTTTGAAATACTGATTTCATATGACAACCCAGCATCAATAAAGCATCTCTTTTAGAGATGGAGGCATGACTCCAGTGAAACCATACATGCCCCTCCAAAACACTAATGTGGATTATTTGTAGGTACTAAATCCTGATAAAGAATATCCCAGTTCTAACATAATCCATTCACTACTACTTTATACATATAGACTACCCTGCTAGGTAACACTGTGGTCAGTTCCCTGTAGAACTCACATTAAAAAATCAACCAAAAAAGCATGCTTGCCATAAAATAAAAATA